GCCAAAGTTACCTACTTGACGAACAAGGGGCAGTTTGGTAGCAAAAACGCTCCGAGACTGATCAACAGCTAAATCTTTACCTAAATTATATAACAGCCTTGCGGATTAACAGTACCGTACTCTTGCTTTCCTAGAATTTAGCGCCACGCTATTGATTATCATCCCGTTGACCTGTAGGTAACCATACTTAGGAAGAAGCCATACTTACTTGAACGCTGCTAGTGGAGCTCAACTTTGGAAGCTTTATGTTGTTAGGTCACCCGGCCCTAAATTCTAGACCTACGGGGTCTGTATATCGATACTAAATTGAAAGGATTACGATAGATAGATATAACGATGAACATGATCATGACCTTTTCCCCCCTCCCAACATGACAAAACAGAGATAAAACATCGAAAAACTAACAGTACTATACACAGCAAAGTTTTAGCCGGGTTAGCATAGGGCTAGGATCAGGTGGGCCCCTCTCCTCTTCACAGGCACACTACTATGTAGAACCAATAGTGTAAGCTATCCATCTTGTCCCTACCTATCCGGCTGCTATCTGGTTCTTCCGTCAGCAGGGAATGTCTCGGCCCCTGCGTCCCGGTGCCCATTCTTTCTTGTGGCGATGCGGAGGGTAGCGTAGGCCCACCTGACCAAGACGAGCAAGACGAATGGGACAAGTAGAAAGCTAACAATCGAAATCCTGGAGGTGTACATTAAGTACTGCATCGTAGTGCAGAACAAAATGTCAACAAATGTTGATGGGAATACGCTTCATGGATCTCCAACACTATTGACAGATTCCCCAAATCCCCGCTAGTGCCGAGGCATTGTCGAATGGTGTGCACAATCCTGGTGAATCTAGATCTGCGCCGTGGCAAGGATTTCGCAACCTTACAGGCGACATCGCTTACTGCGCGCCCACTCCCCCTAATACCTGCGACGGAAAATACCTGATTCGAAGGTCGCGCATAGCCAAATCCCAGCAACTCGAGGCAAGTAGCTGCGATGTGAATTTTGTAGGTATTTGTCCAGCCCACCCTGACCTCATCGTGGGACTTCATTCCCAATTCCGGGGTCTAACAAGCGTCGATCATTGTGCGGGGTGCATGGCAACACATTGATCGTCCCTCGACAGACCCTGAGCAGTACCACGATCAGACCACGATCAAACAGATGCACTGGTCGGTTGTGCGCTCTCCAAATTGAGTTGGTTGCCGTAATAAATCGTTGGCTGATGCGAGCCGGCGTTACTCTCAGCAGAGGGTACCTAATCTACTTGACGGTCATGACGAAAATGCGTCGGGTTCTTGGCCTGGACAGAGCCTGGAGCCCACCGACAACCCTTGCTACCCGTCAATCACGAGCTTATCGATCATTGCTCGATGAGGTGTCCTGTTGTTTTCTTCATCGGCCATTTTATATAGATTGGTAATTAGATCGAAATGGCCTATGAATTCCCATGTTATGTCGTGATACCCGGTCTAATATTGCCCATTTCTTAACAAGACGCTTAAAGGTTGCTACAAGATAAACGTTGGAGAGTGCGATTTTCCTCGGCCTGGAAGCCTATTCGGCTCGTCCGGCCCCTTGGCGATTTTCAGTTATCTACAATGCTGCTGCATAAACCAAACTATATAACCATTCGACTGCGGGGCGGTGGAGGGATTATCACCAGGCGTCGCATCGCATTCGCCGATTTCGTCGCGAAAAAGTCACGGCAAAAGAGTTTCAACCGACAGCTACATCACCAATGGTCCTTGGCCCCGCCACGTGTGGACATGCCCGTTGAGGCACAAAGCAATAATAGCCTGAGACCCTGGCATCCAGGCCACTCAGTGTGCAGAGTGCAGAATGAGGCCCTGTCGCATGGGTTGCCGGCCTGACCCGGCTGACTCGGCGGCATCACGTATGGCCACGTCAGACAAGGAAGACAGCGCATGTCCCCCATCAAAACCCCAGAGGCACCTCAGCCCGACCCCATTGGGTCTTCGCCCTTGCTTCTCCTCGTTACAACGCTGTTCATTGCGTCAAGCGATCCCCCATCTGTACAACATCAATCCAATCCCCCCACGACAGCACAAAGTCCCACGGGATCACGGTACGGTATAGCGGATCACATCACGACAGAAGAGGACAATCCGTTCTCGCTGCTCTTACTACTTGTTGTCAGATGATGGCGTTGGCGAAAACCTAACTTGTTGATCTCAAATGTATCGTGTCGACCAACTAATCTTACGCTCTTAGCTGTGGCCCAGATACCTATCACTAACATACACCACAACCTTTTAAGGCTGCTCGTGGACGTCAAAGGGCGGCACCCATGAAACCTCAGCACTATCAAACTAAGGTCAAACCACAAGTTTTCAGTCTGGCAAACCCTTCACACTCCAGCCCCTAGGCTCGGCCAAATTTTCACAATGCACGCACTATCCAACTCTCCCCCTTCACGACCCAAGAGTATCCTCAAGACGCCTAGTGGTCTTGACTTACAAATGCGGCCCCGGAGCTTATCATCGGCATCAAAAAAGAGCGCGGCGTTTGATGACGTCGCCCGGGACATTGTGACCGGGGCAGAGGTGCCACAGAGCCCAATCCATTCCTCCGAGTACCGCGCCTTTCACAAAGAGTACCGGCAGGAAGTGGGAAGAGCACTCCTACTCGCCAAGATCGACGGGATGTACGATGATGTGGTTCGACGACTAGAAGTGAAGGTAGAATCATGAGAGACAACCCTTTTATTTCACCACGGCGGCAACAATATCCGACACGGAATATCAAACGACAGATAATGTTATGGCGTTATACTGGGGCGTTGTACAACAGTGTGTCAATTTGACTTTAAAAGATACATACCCTTTGGGCGGCGGGAGCGTTGACGAATTTTCGGCTTTACGTTACGCAGTACCCATTCACACAACGGTTGACTTGCAAATTGGTGGCTTTAGAATTCCTTACAGGTGCTACTGAGTTCCCCTGCCAGATCGACTCGCGTTCACGCCAACAGGGCCAGCAACGGTGTGCTTATGGATGGAGGGGGAAAAAAATTCATGTTTAACAGATCGGTAGGAAGAGAAAGGCGAAGTGGGAATATGTAAGCTAAAGATGGATGGATCGGTTTAGGCCCAAATTGCCTTTTCGTCGTACTTCAGAACATGTTCACTGCAATACTAGCTCCTTTACCAGAATGCCCCTCAGATATATTCCAACCCAGTCTGCTACGCTCCTTTCTCATGATCTCAACACCAGCCCTGCCACTTACATTCCTCCCTTTTGCTTTAACATTGGGACGCATGGTGGTGTTTCGATATATTTATGCCCGATATCTTTTGGCACGAAACCAGCGCGCTCGAGGATTCCCATGCCGCGGCCGCCGCCATCAAGATAACAAGCGTAGCCGAGATCGTCCGCGACTTTTGTGACCCAGCCCACGAGTGCAGTGGCATACCCTTTGTGGCGCCATGTCGACTTGGTTATCAAGAGTTCAATGTCTATGTAATGTTCAGATTGGATGTCAGCTCTGAATGGTACAGTACGATGTCCGTATCCACAATCCTTATCTCATCGACAACGCACCGACTTCGGATCGGATACGAGTTCGAAAGCAGTAGCACTGAGTGTTGCCACACTGGGGATGATGATGCAACAGGAAACACTTACACACGTGTCCCTGTTTGCCCACAGTTAGATGGTGTCCCTTCGCCAGGGGCTCGAAGAAGTTGGCTAAGCGTTCCTCACTGACGTCAGGAAGATCGTCACCGCGGCTCCAGCGCTGCTTCCACGAGCTGCCGACAACGGTCTGCCCCGGTTTCACGATGTGCATGATAGCGAAAGAGACCGGTCTTCCTGTTGTTATAAATCAGTTTTCGTCAGAGGCACGCAGTAAACCACGCTTGCTTGCTTTTCTTGGCTTATTTGACGTACCATTAGCACTCCGCACCACAGGCACCTTGGTTTCCGGGCGATAATACGACTGCTGGCCGAGGAAATTCTGGAAGCTGCGCTCCAACCACATGCGCCCGCCGTCCGTTTGCGGGAAGGTCGATTCGGCCGGTCCGCTGAACGCCTCCCAGAATATGCGGATTAAGTCGGGGATGTCGTCTGGCGTCGCTAGGCTCACTGTAGCGGTTACTCCTGCTGCTTTGCCGCCCATGTGTGCGGCCATCATGTGATCGGACTAGCCGGATATCTACTCCTCAAGCGGTACTCTCGAGCAGGTCGCCCTTCGATGTCTGGATTGTCTCGTTCTGAATTGATCAGTGGGGAATTCGCACAGATTGAGTACTGCGGTTTGATTTTGGGCCGGATGTTGTTACGACACCACCATAAATGTTTGAGGCGCTTGAGGAGGCTTAAGCGACATCTTAGACCGTCGCATCGTTGCGGACCTAAATAAGCCGCCGAGGGGATTCTAAGTTGGACGACGTAGAGATGAGCCTCTTGCGAATATGGCCTACCGTCTTAACTCTAAATCCCATCGATCGATCTAGAACATTAGGAGACTCTATTCTAAAGTTTTGAAAGAGCGTCATCACGTCACCTATCCAGGTAGGTCATATCATCCCATAGTATGTGTGATGTAATAATGCGGGCGTCCGAGTATGTACGGCATACATGGTACCCTGAAAACATGACTATGAAACACAACTGAAAATGCCACTTATAGCTTTTCTCTACTATTGAATAGATTAGTCGTAGCTATTTTAGATGAATCTTTCTTTTGGATCCCTCAACCTTGGTTAAACAGATATCCTAGGTATTCTGCCCGCATTTTCAACGCAATAGTCGAAACAATATACGCCGACAACCGTCCTTCTTCAAACAACCACGAGAGTCATTATGGAACAGCTACTAGATAGCGCGCAATGATGTCGTACGATGATAATAGCTAGGTACGGTGGGCATGCCGAATGTCCCCGCACAACGCATGGGCAGATACCAGCACGCAAATGCGAATTCATGCCGTTCGTCCTATATGAGTGATCATAAAATCCCGCTTTTCCAACAAAAACTCGCCCGGTTAGCTCAATCGGTAGAGCGTGAGACTCTTAATCTCAAGGTTGCGGGTGAGTAGCACATTCATGATTAAAAAAATGATGTGTATCAAAATTACTAATTCCCGCTAGGTTCGACCCCCGCATCGGGCTCAATTCCTGATGCCTCCCAGGTCACTGGGATCAGCGACCAGTCTTTTTCCTTTTCCTTTTTCTTATTCTCCTTTCTTATTCACCCTCCCTACAATCCTGTTTGAATTCTTGTTTCTATTCTTTCTTATCTTTAGCTTTGCAAGCAATACAGCCACGAGCAGGTTTCGAGTATGATGTGAGAAATAGGCTGTTATCTTCCCGATTTGTGTAAGGACTTCTTTATTCGTAGTTGTCCTGAATGCCCCGAGGAGCCTATGAAGTCCCCTCGTGGCGGTTATACTACTCCGCAAAATGTTGGTATGACACTTGATTATAAACACAGGTGCGCACGCCGCTTTAAGAGGCCTGCGAATGTGCAAAGGACGAGGCAAGGGTAATCGAATGACCCAGACTATCGGTAGCCAAACTCACGCTACCTACGGGTCGTGTCACAGCCGGGCTAGTCAATAAGCGCTATCAGTCGAGCTCTTCACCCGTTAGCTCGGTGCTGGCAATGCATTGTGGCGTTGTGGTCGAATCTCGAAACTGTATCATGTGCCAAAGTGGCTGCCAATGAGCAAGGATGCATTTATCTAATTCCTTTTGCCGACGACCAAGTAGTGCACACTAGATAGTGCACCACAGCCATAAGCGAGCGGCAGTCAAGCACGTTTCTCAAATGATTTGACATTCTTAGCGAAAGTCAGCCCAAGTCAGCCCAAGTCAGCCCAGTGAGCCATCAGTCGAAAAGTGCCGGTTACATGTAACGTATCCGTCTAACCTTAGCTGCCTCGGGCAGTGAGTGGCGCGGGGAAGAATCTGTAGGTATCTGATAGCCGCAGCGTCTCCATGCTATAATTACTGTATGTGGACGCGCCGGCAAATCAAGGCAAGAACAGTAATAACGGTGCAATCAAATTGTCTCATCGCCCTAGGACAGCCAACCCACTTACACTGGAGATACACTAGGTATAGTTAATCTCTGATGCTGGGAGAAGGCGCCCCCAATTCACATGCTTGATACGAATGGGCTGTAGCCTGCACCTTGATCACGCCCATTAAATCAAACTAGCTTAGGAATTTAAGCCCCGCCGGTCATCTTCTCTTGCATAATATTCTTCTACGCTAAATTTGCATCTCTGTCTAAGTACTTACAGTGAGATGTCCTTACCTATCCCTCTTCCTTCACATCTTCACCTTGCCATTCAGCTGCCTGCTTGGCCTGGATGAACCCCTGTTTGCGGCGTTACAGCGTTACAGTCAACAAGGTAGCTCACGCATTGTGTCGGCACGTATAATAATCGCGTAGCACCTCCTTTGTATTGTACGGCGCAACCAACGGCGGGGTTTATGGCCATGGCTCAATACCTCTGGATTGGGGTAGCTGTACTTCTCGCGGCCGTCTGGGCTGTACAGCAACTCTTCTTTACAATTCGATTTCCGTCGAATCTGCCTAGGATTGGCGGCGGATCTCGCTTTAGTCTGCGAACACGATGGAGGTATCACACCGACGCTCGAGAACTGTACAAGGAAGCCTACGACAATGTGAGTTGTTATGAAAGTACTGCAACTGATGACGTCTTGCCGCTGGCTGATTGCTCACAACGGACACCTAGTACTCGAAGAAAGGCAAGACTGTGCTAGTTCCCGGACTCGGGTTCCGCGATGATATAATTCTACCGCCTACCGCTTTACGCTGGCTACAGCGCCAGCCCGAACGCCTGGTGAGTGCGACAGCGTCGCAAACCGAAATCATCCAACCTTACTATGGCTTTGGACATGAGAAGTTTATCGCAGATCCCTGGAGTGGGATGCTGGTGAAGACGGATCTGAATGCGGTTTTAGAGAATGTCTGTGCGGCTATGAATGATGAGTTAGGCCTCGCGATCGCTTCTCAGTTCGGAACCAATACAGAGGCCTGGAAAGAGGTTGATTTGATGCCCGCGGTTCGTATGATCGTGGCGCAAGCCGCTACTCGATTCACCTTGGGGGCATCACCTGTCGGTCGTAAATTATGTGAGCTACATACAATTTGCCGTTTAGCGCAACGCTGAACACGAATACTAACTAAAACTACCTCCAGGTAGCAATAAGGGATACCTGAATGCATGTCTCAACAACGCAGACGCGCTTGTGATAAGCGCGGGATTAGGCAGTGCAAGCCCGAAGCTTCTACGGCCAATCCTGGGCCGCATCGGTGCCAGGGCTGCTAAGCGAGGGATTATAAAGTTAGAGAAGTATTTTGAACCAGTGTACAGGGAGAGAATGAAGATGATGGAAGAGGATGCAGCGAACCCAGGCAGAGAGATGCCAGAGGATCACCTTCAAATGATGCTACGTTATGGGCTGAAAGAACGCCGGGATGAAGCCCTGAGTCTACGCGACATGACGAAGAGGCTATGCGTCTCCAACTTCGGCTCGATGCACCAGACGAGCATTCAGGTTGTAAACATGCTTCTCAACATTATAGACTCTGATGCCGAATTTGACACCATCTCGGTCTTGCGTGACGAGGTCGCTCGAGTCATCGGCGACGATAAGACATCTGCTTGGAACAAGACTAGGGTAGCAGCTCTGACGAGGGCCGACAGTGTGGCCCGCGAGACTCTCCGACTAAACTCCTTCTCGGCACGCGGTGTGGCACGCCAAGTCATTGGCGACGGGCTAGTGACAGAAGACGGGATTGCGCTCCCTAAAGGGTGCTCGGTATCATTGATCGCCTACTGGCTGCAGACGGACGGCGACGCTTTCGAGAACCCGTTCAAATACGACCCGTTCCGATTCTCGCGTGCTCGTGAGATGGAATTGGATGAACAGGGGAAGCCAGGACTCCCGAGTCTGAGCTTCGTGTCAACGGGGGCGCAGAACCTCGCTTTCAGTCATGGAAAGCACGCGTGTCCTGGTCGATTCCTTGTTGATTTCGAGCTCAAGATGGTTATCGCATACGTACTTATGAACTACGATCTTGAGTTCCCGCCAGAATATAATGGCAAAAGACCGCAGGCTCATTGGGTTACGGACGCAATTTTTCCTCCAGAAGATGCCAGAATTAGAGTCAGGAGGAGAGTACGGGCAGGGTAAATGTGGTGCAGGATGTCTGATCAGATACCATGGATATGAAATAGAGCTGGGCTTGAACATTTACGGTGTTTACCGCGCGGGATTTTCGCCGCCGTCTTGACAGGATCTGCTCATACACCCGCAACCTTCGCGGTAGATGTGACTACCCTGACTGTAACATTAGATTTTAGGACTGTTATTCCGGGACCGTTGGATTCTCTGAGCGTTAAATGACGTGGACGTGCTTACACCGCACCAGCTACCATACTATAAGCTGGCCGTGATATCCGACTTACGCTTGCAACCATGACTAAATACTTGCCTTGAAATGATGCAACCCCGTGGTGAGTTCACACTGTCCTTATCTACTTCGAGGATCGTAGCGAAGAGGTCACTTTTATTCAGGGGAAGAGGCGGTGGGCTTCTCTACACTACACTGGAAACATCGGGAACGAGATGCTTACTTGGGGCCTGTCAGCATTCAGGTAGGTTCCGAACGCGCGTAAACATAGGCCGCTTTGCATGGGCTAGTCTAGACAAAGCCCAATAACCTTAAACATCGCGCCATCGTCAAAACCTTACAAGTAACCATAAGTTGGCAGTGGTAGTCACGCTTGAATTTTACGCATACTTCGTGTTAGCCGCTTCCTGCGGGCTCGCGATGCATCTGTTGATCGATCGCAGAAACACAGCTTCACCCCCACGAGTCTTCGCTGCCGACGTTGCCGAATTACCGTGTATGTGGTTGCTATCGACAGTGACACCAATTTGCCCTCTGGTTTCCGAACGAATAGAGACGTAGGACGAATGTGCTACGGCATGTTGTTTCGTGTGGCTGCTGCGAATAATGAAATCTGCATTCCAACTAAGTCTCTCGGCTTCCATGTCGGAATCCGGCATGTTACCTGTCCTGTCTCCCTTCTTCTTGGCGACGATCTACAGTAGGTAGCAAGGGTGGTGGCTGTCAGATTTAAGGGGTTAAAATAACGGTCCACATGGCATAGATTACCCACATACACCTATTTAATATAGGACAGAAGAATTTTTATAATATAATAGAATATATTAATTAATTACTTATAATATTTAATTAAAATTGCTTAATTTTAATAATTAAAAGTTTTATATATATTAATTTTATTTTTAAAGCTAAAATAAATAATTAATTAAATAATAATAATATTATTAATAAATATAAAAATTATACTAGTTAAGCTAAATAATTATATGTTTTAAAATAAAAAATTTATAACTAAAGCTATTTTTTTAAACTTTTAAAAATATTTATAATTTATAAATAAATTTTTATAGTTATAATTATTAAAAAAACTTAAATATAAATATTATTTTAAAAAAATAATTAATAAAATAATTAAAACTTAATTAACTATTATTATTATTAAAAAT